GCAGCAATGTTACCTGTTAGAGCTCTATAGCATGAATCTGACCCACTCCATCCAGCAAAGCTGCTGTGGCAGTGAGCAATTCTAGCCAACAGCTCAGCATTTCTAAGTCAGCTGGTGGCATGAAAACAGTTATGTATCACCAGAGGCCTGAGGGTAGAGCCCTTGCAAATGTCACAGGCCTGCTATGTTATCCAACCTTAAGAGTTGAGGCCAAGCAAAATATATATTCTATTATTTATATGAAATACTCTAAGCATATACTAAATATCACCCAAATAATAATTTTTTATGCCTATGGCCCTACAGACTCTATGATCTTAACACGCAGAAACTTTTTTCTTAGATATATCATAAAGTTTTAATTGTTTTGAAACATTTACTCTTTAAACTATGAGTAATGTAAAAAGAAAAAAAATAATGATAAAGAAAAATTTAACCCAGCTTCAAAAATAAAAACACATTATTGCATTTTTACCTCATTCAAGGCCAGCAAAAAAAGCGAAAAGAAAACTGCAAGATGTAGAGGCATGTATTTCCTATAAGAATAAACAATTCAACCTATTAAGTCATTTGTGAATGTTCTTTTAAAATAATTACTATGTTTACACAAAACCTAAAAAATAAATTAACCAACACTATAGTAGAGTACCTTCCTCTAAAAATGCCTTACATAAACATCTCTCTCTACACTGTATAATGTGATTCAGGGAGACTTTATATTCCCAACATGTACAAATGACAGACTTGCACAATACTTAAACACATGCTATTTCCTTCAATATAATTCCAAGAGTTGCTTACAGTAGACATCACATAAGAGATGAACCAAAATTCAGAGGTCCCATCTCTAACCTGACATAAACACAGAATTGGGTTGTACTAGTTTAAATTTCCAGAAAATAGAATAAACCACAACCTAATTGGAACGCAACACACATACACACCCCACCCAGACAACCAATAGATAAAATCTTTCTCCACTCTCTGACTGCCTAAACAGGTAATCCACAGATGTGCCCTCATACATAATAGTTATCTGTGATAGACTAACAACTATTCTCAGAACCAAAAGGCAGGGTTTTGAGAGTAATGTGTACTAGGAGAAGTAATACACAAAAGTAATACCAAGGGAATGATTTCTTCTGAAATCAGATATGACTTACCGATTAAGTAAGGGACTCTGACTCTATTAGGCAGATAACTTTAATTTGCTATATTTTTACATGTTAACTCACTATAGTCTTTAGGCCACACAGGAAGGCAGAATAGAACTTCTAAAAATCAACAACAAAATAGTAATACCAAGGGAATGATTTCTTCTGAAATCAGATATGACTTACCGATTAAGTAAGGGACGCTGACTCTATTAGGCAGATAACTTTAATTTGCTATATTTTTACATGTTAACTCACTATAGTCTTTAGGCCACACATGAAGGCAGAATAGAACTTCTAAAAATCAACAACAAAAGCACTGTTAACTTTAGTCAAAAATAAGCCAAACTAAATTTATACTCTAACTTCTCTTTCAGAAGATAGTTACCACATTTTCATTGAAATATAGATGGGCAGATTTACTATAAACCACAATCAAATATTTGACACCAAACAATCCAAAGACCACAGTAATTCATTTAACAAGCACACCAAACATCTATATTAAGTAGCATAAGCACGTAGGGAGTGTAAAACTAATCACCACTAACCAAACAGCCACAGCATAGAGGCTCCTTTTCTTGCCAAAGGGAGCACTACATAAAGGCAGATGAAATGATTTTTCTCTTTGCCTGACCCAGTGCAAGCAACTATTTTGGAATCAACAAAAGTCAAAGCCACTGCACTGCAGACCTAGCTTCTAAAGCAAACTTATTAGCTATGCAATCCTCAGACTACAAGTGGATATCCTTATAAATTGTAATAAATCAGAAAATTAACCAAAGTAGGTATCTTTCCTGAAACTGTCTGAAGGTTTATTATGTGACTTCTACATTTAAACATTTGACAAACTAATATATGCATTGCTTTATTTATAAAGAGCTTACATATAAACCATCAACTAAGCCTCTATGAAAAAGTAAACCTCTAAATTTCAGATAACACTATAGTTAAACTTTTTTACTTTAAAAAACTATGGTTCAATTATTTTAGTTTATTTAAATAATAACCACTATGTAATTCATTTCCTCGGTCTCTTAAGTTTTCATGCATGTTCACAATATTGGTTTAATCAAAGTTGAATTGTTATCTGTAATAAGTCAAAGCTAAACTAGACTATCCAATGTATGACAAAATAAAATATCTAATAGAAAAGTTGCATTCTATATTGTGCAATTTTATATGTGGACTTCATTTATCAAAAATGAGCCTTAAACAAACTCATTAAAACAAAATAATTAGCTTATTTTGCCAATAATCTGTTGTCAAAATTTAAGCAAAGGAGTGCATAAATTAAGCAGGTCAATTGTTTGTAAAAGTTTACAAAAATAAAAATATGTGATATAGTACAGTTTTTTGGGTTTTTGTTTTTTGCTTTTTTTTCCAGACCATTAAAACAAATACTATCCTAAGAAACAAGGGATTTTAGATTTAATTCAAAACTGGAGTTTTTCCACAAATCAATTCACTTAATATGAATTGGCCGCCAAAAGCTAAACAATGATCTGCCATCTGAAACAGCTTTGATGTAACAGTCTTAAGTATGACAAAAGTCTTAATGTTAAACAGTTTTAGCTAACAAAGAAAGATTTGTTCTATTTGAGTGAAACATTCCTTGAACATTATTATTGCAAGTTTATATACTGTAACTGTACATGACTCTCATGTAAAGAAGTATATTAGACTCATCTCAAAGTAAGTCTTGTTAGAATTTTTCCTACACAAAATAGTTGTCAACTATTAATATAACCATCTGCAAAATGTTTAATTTCATTAATACTTACAATTATTATTTTTGTTTTTGCATAAAAATAAGATCAGTAAAACCAGAAATCATACCAATTAATTTTACCTGCACTCAATGTTGGAAACATTTTCATGTAATCTGCCCTCTCACCTTCAATGCATAACACTATCAATTTAAACTATAAAAACCCCATGTTGGCCTGGTTCCAATACTGACCTCATATCAAAACAGAAATAAATGTCTTAAAATAACCAAACAGCCATCTTCCAACTATTACACCGGACCCAAGGTACAGTATAAAATAGGGTATTTTCCTCCTCCTCCCCTACGTACCTGTAAAACATTAATCATTACTAGGCAAGCACTTTTATTTCCCATAAGTAAACACCAGAAAATTGGGAAAATGTGGTCATACAGGGAGAGAGTGTTTTATATTTAATATCATTGCCTCAAATTACTCATTCTTACTCAAGTCACAACCAATGACCATAAGAAATAATGTAAACCATGAAGAAACACTATGTAATGTTCCTGCACTTTAAAAAATCAATTTCCAACAAGACAACAAATGAATAATTATCAAATAGCAAATATTTTAGCCACACTATTATTCAATCATTAAAGAAATCACTTAAGGCCCTAACACCTCTTTCCCTGAAAGATAATTGTATTTGTTACCCAATAATTTCATTATCTTATTGTTACTGCATTACACCATTTTTGGCAACTCCACTCTAAGCTACAAATATACTTGCTGAATATTACATTTCCACACAGAAACAACCACCACCACTGTCTTCCACCATCATTTAGGTCCAAACCACAATGATGTTTTTACTAATTAATCAGACTACAACAACAGCTGCACGTCAGACCAACAGTTCAAATATACCTTTGAAAAAGATACAAGTATAATAAAAATCCTGCACATCAGACTAAGAGTTGGAATGAGCCTTCTGAAAAAGATACAAGTAAATAAAAATCCATAAGTACTTACCTACAGTTGGGAGGAGGGTCCAACGTAATTTCTGCAAGTTCCTTCTGAATTCTTTAAAGACAAAGAAAGTTATGTTAAAATGTCTTCACTCTTAATATTAACCTATCTCATTAAAATGTTATACTTTAACAATAATATTTCCCTTTTCTGTGTTTTTAATTTGAAATACTAATACTGTATAAAGCATCATATACAACAACAGAGTAGTCATTTCTGCCACAGTTCTGAGGTGATGAGAATGGCCACTATCAATGGATGCAGCTGTGGAGGTGAGCACAACTTCTAAGTCGGAGCAGGTTGGGTGGGGCTTTCAAGTTTGACACTATTTCTTTTGCTAGAACTATCCTAATATTACATGAATAATTATTTTAATGTCATTGCATGGGCTTCATAAAAAGAAAAAAACTTTTTCTAGAACCAGCTTCTGTCTTCATGTATTATTTTCTACTTTGACTTTTAACTGCATCTACTACCCTATGCATATATACAAAGGCTTAACAATGCTACACAAATACAAAATATGCAAAAAAATTCTCAAAACTATTTCTTCCCTTTTGCCTTAGTTTTTAAATATTAGGTTATTAACAGCTGGATACCTCGTGTCTGGTAATAATATGGTTGATAGCTGACTAAAGTACCTAAAAAAAGACAAGCAAGATTTTGAACAAAAACATGTACGCTCATACAATTTCATTCTACCTCTTTTTCAAGACAACAAACGGAACTACTAGAATAAGTAGGACTCCTCCAATAGGACTGGTACCAACTTCCTAAAAGAACTGCATTCTACTAATATAATTTTCACTTCTTTAAACCATGTGATTCAAGGTTGGGGAGGAATTATGAATCAGAGCAAGACTAATAAATTCAGAGCCAAAAAACTTTCATTTTAATTCTGCCATGCCCTTAATTGAGTCCTTGGGCAAGAATACTGCTCGCACCTGTGTGTGCTCTCTCTCTGTGCCTCAGTTTTCTGTCCTACAAAATTAAGAGACAAACTCTATGATCTCTTTTATTTTTAACACACTGTAATTTCCTTTTTTTTAATACCAAAACAGCTAGACTTGAAACTTTATTTTTTAACAAATACACTTAATTCTATCTCATTGAGGGAAGAGATGGGTCTGCAATATCCAAAAATTTAATCAAATTGAAGCCACACCACATTAAAAAATTTTTTTAAACCTCATTTTTGATAAGTGATAACTTTGCATCTGACAATCAAAACTTTAAATGTTTTTTTATTCATAGTCAAGAGAACTTTCAAGTTTTATTCCCTTTAGATGTATTTAGGTACCAGTCATTACAGCAGGTATAAACACAAAAACATTTCGACAAATAGGATTCACATGTGATTGTCCTTTCAGACTCAATCAGGTAGGGACAAAAGTAAAGGTATGTTTTTCCAGGTAAAGGCAGTTCTTTTTATTCACAGCAATTTCCCTTCCTCAGCCTTTCACGTTCTTTTTCTAATGTTTCCCCATGTAATTTCCTTTTAATACGGATTCTATAATATGTTTACATATGCCAAAGTAATATGAGCCATATTTCAGTGATAGAAGTCTCAAAGATCTGATATAGGAGAATGCCTTTTATGGACTTCACACAAAAGCATAAATAGGCACTTTAAAACTAAATGGATAAGTTCAAGTTAAATATAGCAAACTGAGCACACACACATTCACCTCCCACCCATTCAGGACCCCATCAGAGGGTGAGGGTATACAGAAAATGCCAAAAGGAACAAACAGCAAAGAGAAGGAGGGTGTGGTCACCAATGGATGAGAAATTTTAGTATATTTCTGAAACATAAAGCAGATGGGTGTAGATTAAACAGGTTGAGACAAGAGTGTGCTGTGGTGTATAAGGATATAATAAAAGGATATAATAAAGATACATTATTCAAGGAAAAAATAAAATCAGAAATCCCAGAAGAAAAAAAAGCTGTATAAAAAAATCATAGATCAAATATGAAAGAAAGTAAAATGTGAAATAATTTTAATCAAGTAACAAATATTAAGAAAAAAAAGAAGTTGGTCTATTTTGCCTAAATGCTATGACTCACTGGGTAGCCCAGGGATCATAACATTGGTCTTGCAGGAAATTAATCTTAACATGTGGTTTTTTTGTCTGGCACTGAATATGTACAGTTATAATAAATGTACAATTTACTGGTTTTTACTTATAGACGAAGCACAGAATATGGGTTGTAGTTGCATTATACAATGTAAATGCTACTAACCATGAAGATATAAAATTAAGTATAGCTAATAAAAACCAGCTAAAAGCAGTTGGGAGCTAGCAATGAGAAGATATAAGAATGAAAGTATTAATGTCCCCATTTACAAAGTAGGGAATCAAGAAATAATACCGAGGGGCCGGCCCAGTGGCGCACTGCTACAGTGCGCCGCTTGGGAATGCGGTGGCGCTCCCGCCGCGGGCTCGGCTCCCCCCTCCCGCCCCGCG